GGGATGCGATGGCCCAAGTGCTGGCACACAATCTTCATCCTTTTCTTCTGGGGCATGACATGTCACGGCTCGCTACTTAGCCTAATGCAAGCCGTTGATGACGAAGCAACCCGAGCCTCGCCAGCTCATTATCTACCCTCACGGAGCCTTGGTTGGCCCTCCAGCCTGTTTAATGCTACCTCCCACGGTTCGTTGGCTCTCGTGCTTATCAGGGCAAGCAGATGCGGCTGTCTGACAGCCGACTCGAGTGAGTCGTTGACTTTGCACTGTTTAGGAACTTACTTTTTTGCTGGATTTGGAGTTTGGGTCGGTATAAGTGGTCGCAGTGAAATTCTATGGAGGACGAATCGGACGGGCTATTGTGTGCATACTTCTTGGTTGCGATGTACAAGTATAATACCTCTTTGGGCCTTCGTGCTGGTTAGAGCCAGGCATGCGAGGACTAGGACGATACCAGATGCCCGTACAGGCATATCAAACTGTAGTTCAAAACTGTAGTTCAAAACTGTAGCTCAGAACTGTAGCAATAATGTGACATGCAGCGCAAAAGGGTATGCGATTCAAGTAACGGTATGCTGGGTTCCAGATTAGGTACTTATACTAGCATGACCACCTATGTAGTTTGATAGGTAGATGTCCTGCCACCTGGGCATTGTGTTATTGACTTTGAGATGTGTAAAAGACCTCCACTGCCTAAGTACCTAAGGTACTGCTATTTGTTGCCGATCCATGGATGTGCCTACTAGTAAATTTTCTAGTGAGCAAGGCAAAAGCGCGTAGTGCACTACGACTAGGTCGACGCCAAGCAGTCTAGAAGACCCTGATCGGTAGCTACCCTGATTCAGTATAACTCAGCTATCGCGTCTTATCGAATGGCGGGCACGGGTAGCGTGCAGGCTAAAGGTGGGGTCTTGATGAGTTTTGACGGGCTTTGATTCACCGCTCACCGCTTGGGGCGGGGCAGAATTTTTTTTCATAGCGTCCCCTCCACAAAGCGGGCGATATTTGCACAAATAAAGTTCCTCGCAGAGTTCCTGTCCGTTGCAAATTTCCTGTCTTCCGGCATTCGCTCTCCCATTCCTGACCTCCCCAGAAAACACGCAAAGATGGCCGATGAAGTCTACGACGGTGCCGTCGGCATCGATTTGGGTATGTCCATGTTGTTGCGACCACGCCGCCGCCCCTCGTAACCCCTCGTCCCGCGGCCACAGCTAACAGCGGCGCTCCCCCCGCCTCACAGGTACCACCTACTCTTGCGTTGCCATCTACGAGGGAAACAATGTCGAGATCATTGCCAACGAGCAGGGTAGCTTCACCACCCCGTCGTTCGTCTCCTTCAACGAGAAGGAGCGTCTGATCGGTGAGGCCGCCAAGAACCAGGCTGCCATGAACCCGCGCAACACCGTCTTCGATGTCAAGTAGGTCGACCATCGCCGGTCTTCCAATGAGCCCAGGAACCACGTTCTAATGTGCATTCATCGCAGGCGATTGATTGGCCGACCTTTCAGCGACCCCATCGTCAAGAAGGACATCGAGTCGTGGCCCTTCAAGGTCGTTGAGCAGGGCTCAGGCAACCCCGTCGTCGAGGTTGAGTACCTCGGCGAGACCAAGACCTTCTCTCCCCAGGAGATCTCCGCCATGGTCCTCACCAAGGTGAGCCGTCACTCCGCCGTAGAGAGACCACTGAGACTATTGCTGACACGCACCGTGTAGATGAAGGAGATTGCCGAGACCAAGCTGGGCAAGAAGGTGGAGAAGGCCGTTATCACCGTCCCGGCCTACTTCAACGACAACCAGCGTCAGGCTACCAAGGACGCCGGTGCCATTTCCGGTCTTAATGTTCTCCGTATCATCAACGAGCCTACCGCCGCAGCTATTGCCTACGGTCTGGGCTCCAACAAGTCCAACAAGGAGCGCAACGTCCTGATCTACGATTTGGGTGGTGGTACTTTCGATGTGTCCCTGCTGAACATCCAGGGTGGTGTCTTCACTGTCAAGGCTACCGCTGGTGATACCCATCTTGGTGGTCAAGATTTCGATACCAACCTTCTGGACCACTGCAAGAAGGAGTTCCAGCGCAAGACCAAGAAGGATATCTCTTCCGACCCTCGTGCTCTCCGCAGACTCCGAACTGCTTGCGAGCGTGCCAAGAGAACTCTCTCCAATGGTGCTCAGACCACCATCGAGATTGACTCGCTCTTCGACGGCGAGGACTTCTTCCTCCAGATCACCCGTGCCCGTTTCGAGGACCTCAACGCCAAGGCTTTCCAGGGCACCCTGGAGCCCGTTGCCCAGGTTCTCAAGGACTCTGGTGTCGAGAAGAGCGGCGTTGACGAGATCGTCCTTGTCGGTGGTTCGACCCGTATCCCTAAGATCCAGAAGCTGCTGAGCGACTTCTTCGACGGCAAGAAGCTCGAGAAGAGCATCAACCCCGACGAGGCCGTTGCCTACGGTGCCGCCGTGCAGGCTGGTATTCTCTCCGGAAAGGCCACCTCGGCCGATACCTCGGACCTCCTCCTCCTGGATGTCGTCCCTCTGTCCCTCGGTGTCGCCATGGAGGGCAACATCTTCGCCCCCGTCGTCCAGCGTGGTAATACAGTGCCCACACTCAAAAAGCGAACCTTTACCACCGTTGCCGACAACCAGCAGACGGTCCAGTTCCCGGTCTACCAGGGTGAGCGTGTCAACTGCGAGGATAACACCTCGTTGGGTGAATTCACTCTTGCTCCCATCCCTCCCATGCGAGCTGGTGAGGCCGTTCTCGAGGTTGTCTTCGAGGTTGACGTCAACGGTATCCTCAAGGTCACTGCTACCGAGAAGACCTCTGGCCGCAGTGCCAACATCACCATTGCCAACTCGGTTGGCAAGCTCTCATCCACTGAGATTGAGACTATGATTAACGGTAAGCTTCCGGAATAGAGATATTGAACGTGCAACTTGCTAATATGCATCATAGACGCCGAGAAGTTCAAGAACAGCGACGAGGCTTTCAGCAAGCGATTCGAGGCCAAGCAGCAATTAGAATCCTACATCAGCCGCGTCGAGGAGATCATCTCCGACCCGACCCTCTCCCTCAAGCTCAAGCGTGGCCAGAAGGAGAAGATCGAGGAGACCCTTAGCGAGGCCATGGGCCAGCTCGAGCTTGAGGACTCGACTTCCGATGACCTGAAGAAGAAGGAGCTGGCTCTGAAGAGACTTGTGACCAAGGCCATGTCTTCACGATAAGCGCGTTAATGATTTTTCCGGTTTTTATCGTTGGGACATAAACGGGCGCTGATTAGACTGCGCAAAGGCGGCGTCTACACACACACACACGAAGCGTTCATATGTGTGAATGAACACATCTCGACGGCATGGGATATGATGTCGATATGCCTTGATATGTATGGGGTAAAGATAAAAGTATTATGGGATGATTCACGCTTTTCTTCCAAACTCTTATACACACCCTCTACCTTCTCTCGACCTCATCACGCAGCCAATATTCTGGTTCTCGGCGCACTTGCATGTAGACTAGGAAGAATGGAAATGACGAGGGAGAAACACCCTCAATGACAAATGAAACACGATTCAAAAATACCTAAAATGCGTGCTGTTCACCTATGGTCCACCAAGCTTTCTAAATATTTAGACCCTACTTCGCCACTGGTATATTTTGTAACTGTCTTGAATTATGTCTTAGTCTAGACTAATCATCTCTGTCTCGTGAAGTAGTGCAGGTCCAATGATAGCTATTCATGAGGCTTTATTAAAACATATTATAGTGTATAATTCGAAAACTTAAGAATATAGCCAAGTATTACAGGATATAGCATTCCCCCTTAGTTAATGAATTAAATTTAATAAGTATAAGTATATATATATATATATATATATATGTTATACTTTTTATCTAGGTATAATTATACTATAATTATATTATAGTTAAAATATAGTTAATATTTAATTTTATAATAACATTTATTATTATCTCGCGTGAATATAAGCAAGAACCAGCTTATAGATTAAAAACTGTCCTAGGATTATAAGTATATAGTTTAACAACTTAGTTTATAGCTATATAGTTAATAAAATATCATCTTTAGTCCTCACTTTATAAACTACAGGCATGGCTTTAGAAGAGCAAGGACGAGCTGAAGAGGTTGTAACATAAAGATGGCAGACAGGCTAATGCGTGGGGGATTCATTTTTTTTACCAGAACAAGGACCGGTATAGTCATGTCCCTGGCAATATCTCTCTTCAGTAATTGTACAGGCGAATTACAAGAACTAAAGACGATGAACCTAATCGACAAGATTCTATTCATCATGTAGCAATTTAGAGAATCTGAATAACAATGCTTTATTCTTCGCATCATCGAAGACCCTTATATATGGGTAAAATACAGAGATTAGTACAAAAGTGTAGGAAGACGTAATTATTTGCGGCCAGGGCAGTAGACGGAGCTGTGGCGAGTCGTCCATGCACCATGATCCGTCTTGCTGCCGGTAACTTAAACATAAACGCGCAGCGTGACGTTCGTATCTGCCTTCGCGAATCTCAACCTTAACGATGGTTTGTACGAGAGTTTGTCTTGAAGGTCCATAGCTTCTTTATGACGTTCTTCTTCTGCTTGGAGCATTTCTTTATATCGCTGATCTTCCTTTTCGTCTTTTTCATTTTATTTTTGAATCTTTATGTTTTCGACGGACTAAGGGGATAATACCGCGCTATACCTATGCTCCAAATATTAGACTTCGAAGAAACGCAACCCCGAGTTGTCGATCCCGACAACTTTGGCCCGAATCTCCGCCGCCTCTTCAACCGTCGAGCCATCCTTCGCGCCCAGCCCCTCGACGCTGGTTATACGGCTTGGATTCTCGCTGTGCGAGCCTTTGTGGAGGAGTGCGAACGCTACGTTTTGGAGGCGTATGATGACGAGTGGTGAGACGAGTGGCGCGCCTTGTTGGTGGAGCAGGACGTGCTCCAGCTTGAGACGGTTTAGTTTCGGGTTGGGTTCGCTTGTGGCTCATTAGTAGAGCGCAGGATTTTTTTCGATTCTGAGGAACTGGGTTCGATTCCCAGCAAGCAGTTTTTGTTGTTCTGTTAGTTTAACCAATAATTTGATGTAGTTCTTGGTAAGGCTTCGATGTCCTCTACAATATCTTTTAGTCCATTCCCTCGTTTCTTGGACTCTCTGGATCCCCTGGGGTGATCCAACACACTAGTATTTATCCCTAGGTATTACTTATTATATAACGAAGTATTACCTATTGTATAACTAAGTACTACCTATTGTATAACCGTTATGCAGTAACAAGAGTAGTTGGTGTCTAGATATCTCCTGCAGCTTCTTGATATCCTGGCTTTGTTGTTCGATCTTCTTTTCTATGACCTGGATAGTCTTTGATTAATGGTCGATATGTTGTTTCAGCCGGTCAACCTCGGACTCCTGATGATACATCCATTTCCCGAGTTTCTTTTTATTGCGCCGATAACAGTCAGCAATGAAAGAATATAGCAAATGCTCTCGGTATCTGCGGTCTCGCAGGTTTTCCGTGCCAGAGTTTACAGTTTTGAGACAGATTCTTTTAATAAGAACGTCTCGCCACTATGCGTTTAGATTCCGTAAACATCCTAAAATACGGTCCCCTTAAGACGTTTATCCGTAGACGGAGCTCTTGGCATGCTCTAAATATTGGCGTTAATTAGTTAGGTTTACTATCTGTAGACTTATTCACCTACCGTGTAGCCAGTATCTAATATAGAGATTGATACATGGGTACCTGTTCACTCACCGTATGTCACTAAGCTAGCACGTCGGCTAACAATCACGTGGGCTGGAATTCTAAGTATGTCCATATCTATACGTAGCGTATCAACCACAGCCAGCTATTTGAACATCTCAATGTCACTTCAATAATAGTACTATGAACTGAGGCGGCGGAAACCGCGTGACAAACGCAAAAGTCGACAATATAATGGTGTGCCCGCATACCACCTCAGAGGTTGCCTTGTCAAAGTGGCAATAGAAGAATGTAATCGGGGTTCTTCCTCGTGCCTCTTTCTGGAGTGTGCGAGGCATATTTAATCGGGTGACAGTCTCCCCATCCGTGGTGGGCTGGTGAGCGGCATTGCCTATTTACACAATCTCGTTCGATCCATCAGCACAGCTATTCTAGCCTCCCTCGGCTATTACGCCTCCATATAGATAACAAAGTATTGATTGGTAGAGTCGGTATCAAATATAGCCCGAATAGTTGTTGCCGGGGCGGTGCTAACCAAGCGCCCTTCGATAAGTCTCCGGAAACACACCGACTATGGCCCGTCAGAGGATTTTTCAGGCAAGACTATGACCAACGACGGCAGGGGCTTTGTGTCTTGGCTATGCATCGGCATACTAGAAAGAAAGAAACGTTTGATATCGCGTTGCTCTACACCTCATGTGACCGCGTGACGTCACCGTAACGCAGGCTGAGAGAGGACAACGGATAAACATAATTGTCTTCTAAAAATCAGATTCTTTTGAAACGAATTTCTTAACACGTTTAAGAAATACAATTAAACTAGGCGTGTCTAAGTGGGTTCGTAAGTACTAAAAGATCACCAGAGCCGATTTGAGAATAGAAAGGTGTTACGTCTAACTGTAAGTACTCGTTGAGTGTAAGAGCAGAGGTATAAAACCATCAACATATCAAGCAGTTCTCACAGGTCCTAGCAAGATGGCGAACAACAAGGAGGAAGAACAATCCAAACCAAACAGTGACCCAAACACGATGCGCGCCTGGCAATACACCAGAGCAGGGAGGAACCTGGCCACCGCTCTAACACTAAACCCCAATGCCCGCCGTCCCCCAACCCCTCTACCAGCAGACAAGCTGCTGGTGCGCGTCACATACATGTCGCCGAACCCGGCCGACCACAAGATCCCAGAGGTCGGCCAGCTGGCCTCGCTCCTCGTGACGCGCTCGTTCACCGCCACGCCGGGGATGGACTACGCCGGCGTCGTGGAAGAAGTCGGGAGCAGTTTTAGCACCACAACATGCAAGCCCAGCTACAAGCCAGGCGACCTCGTCTTCGGGCACGTGGGACAGACGGCCTTCGGAACACTAGGCGAATACATCCAGCCGTCCGCCTCGGGGTGCGTCGTCCTACCGCGGTCCGTATCTCCCTCGGACGCCAGCACGCTCGGCACGGCCGCGCAGACGGCGTACCAGGCCCTGGTCCCGTACGTGCGCGCGGGCCGGGGCGACGAGGTCTTCGTCAACGGCGGCAGCGGCGGCGTCGGGACGTATGCGGTGCAGATCGCGGCGAAGGTCCTGGGCTGCGTCGTCACGACGTCGTGCTCCGCGCGCAACGTGGAGCTCTGCAAATCGCTCGGCGCGTCGACGGTCCTCGACTACACCAGCACGAACGTATCCAACGCCCTGCGCGCGCGGGGCCACGTCTTCCGGCTGGTCCTCGACACCGTCGGCGGGAGTCCCGCCGACCTGTACAAGGCCGCCGACGACTACCTGCTGCCCGAGGGCATCTTCGTCCAGATCGGGGCTCCGTTCAGCGTCTCCGGTATGCGCTCCACAGCGTCCCGCGCGTTCTTGCCGAGCATCCTCGGCGGCGGCAAGCGGGCTTGGAAATTCGTAGCGGTTGCGGATCGGCACGAGGATCTTGCGCAGCTGGCTCAGTGGATGCAGGAGGGGAAGATCCGGGCTGAAATCGAAGGGGACATCATCCCCTTTGAGGATGCGCCCAAGGCGTTTGAGATGCTGAAGACGGGGCGCACGAGGGGAAACTTGGTGGTCAAGGTTTCAGAGTAAAGCGGTTCTGTGAGTGTGCATAAGCATCATCGTCATGGATTTCAATTGCATCTTTTAAGGCGTTTATACATGTTGGGATTGGGCGAGCAGGAAAGGTTGCAAGTATATTACTATCAGCAACGCAGTTGAACGAGATTTCAGAACTTTAATGGCAAAAATCAAATATATATATTTAGGTATTCTTCTTCTCTATGCAAGACACCGGGTCATCTTTGACATCCCGTCTAATGGTATTTTAAAGCTAATCGTATGGGCTCGTCGTGATAGCTGATGTCTATGTTTCCGGCAGTGGGCCATTATAAGGATTTGGTATAATTTATGCTTCGAGAATAGGGTGATTCTAAGGTTAGTGACGCCTCGCCAAGACGCCCACCCGCGTTCCTCATCATCTCAGACTCGTTGAACGCCTGAAATCATGGTACCTCGTTGTGCTAATTGAATGAACGGCATCATAGTGCTAGATTAATCATCCAGGGGTGCACAGCCCCATTAATTTTTAGCGGCAGGAGTAGTCATGGCAAGTCCAACGGGTGCCATTGCTGGAGCCGGCGTGGTAGAACGGGTCGGAGGCTGGGATCGATTGTGAGCCATGTGTGCTCTAACAAGATGGCCAGCAGCAAGAGCGCTGCAAAGAGACAATTCACCGGCGAGGACAGCAGCACCGATAATTCGAGCAAGACGGCGAGCATTGTCTCCGGGGTTTGTTGGATGAGATCCTCTGACGCCTAGCAGGTCAAGCATGGCGCTCTGAGGCTCCAGAATTGTACCACCACCGAGGGTACCAACTTCAATTGACGGCATGGAGACGGCTATCTGGAGAGAACCATGCAGACTAGAAAAGAGTTAGCGGATCATATTCGTATCAGCGTACGGAAGTCTCTGACATACTTTCTCATGGTGGTAATGCAGTTTGCACTTTCGACTACCTGTGCGGGATCCTGTCCTGTTGCGAGGAAAACAGCTGCGACGATGTTGGCAGCATGTGCGTTAAAGCCACCAACCGATGCGGCCATGGCGGATCCGATGAGATTCTTAGCGATGTTAAGCTCAACAAGAGTATCAACATCGCTCTTCAGAATGGCCTTGACCACGTCGCCGGGAATGATGGCTTCAGCCACGATGGACTTGCCACGGCCGTCAATCCAGTTCAATGCTGCCGGCTTCTTGTCAATGCAGAAGTTTCCTGACACTGAAATGATATTCATGTCATCGAAACCCGCGTCATTAGCCATCACGCTCAAGGCATGTTCCACACCTTTCGAAATCATGTTCATACCCATAGCATCGCCAGTCGTCGTCTTGAAACGGATGTAGAGGTTAGTTCCAGCCATAGCGGTTTTCATAGTCTGCAGCCGAGCAAATCGGGACGTCGAATTGAATGCTTTCTTCATCGTAGCTTGGCCTTCTTCCGAGTCCAGCCAGATCTTAGCAGCACCAGCACGTTCTAGGGTTTCGAAGCTGACACAAGGCCCACGGGTCATGCCGTCACCAGTCAGCACAGTCACAGCACCGCCTCCAGCGTTGATAGCTTTCGCACCACGGCTCGTACTAGCAACCAGCACACCCTCAGTGGTAGCCATAGGGATATAGTAGCTCTGACCGTCAATGACGAGGGGTCCGGCGACACCCACAGGAAGAGGCATAAAACCAACGACATTCTCGCAGCAGGCACCTAGAACCTGGTCCCAGTTATAATTCAGGTAAGGCAGTTTTGACCGCTCTAGAAGACTTGTTGTCTCGGTGGTTGCTGCTGTTCTTGAGATAATTGACCGTCGGACCTTGACAGCACGCATGCAATCTTTGAGACCCTTCTCTAAGGCGTAACCCGGGATTGCACCCTCCAGGGACAAAGCGATAACCTCGCTGTCGCTCATTTCGTGCATACGCTTTTCCTTAAGGAGGATAGCTAATTCTGCCTTGCTTCGCATAAGTTCAGGGGATGGTGGTGACGAAGGAGGTTCCATGGGAACGAGCGCTGGCCTAGGAGGAGGAGGAGCCTTTACCTGGACACTCTCGTCATCAGTTTCGGCTGGGGTGGCAGGCAGTGTCGACTTTCGCTTTGGCTGGATGCCACCTAATGGGAGCGTGGCCTGATCACGAGGATCGTTGAACCTCTCGGCAGCTGCAAGCTCCTTGCGGTCAATGGGGTGGTCGGGAGCGTTTGGATCTTTAATTCCCCATCGTGCAACGTTAAATAGATATCCGTTAAGCGCCACGCTCATGGCCAGAGCAATCACAATCCATTTAGACAAGATAGGATCTTCCAGACTCTCGAAG